ATAGCCTCTGCTTTTTCCTGATCGTCCTCCATCATTTCAGATTCACTCCCTTCTTTAATTAGGTTGGGAATCCAATGATGCATCCTTGTACTGTAGTTTATGTACGAGAATACTCTCTTGGGCTGCTTGAGTGCAGATTGTGCCAACTGCATTTCATATTTTCTCTGAGCTTCCCGAATTTTTGTTATACACTTGTTTCTTATCGATCTGTAGCTTTCCATGGTACCTGCTGTGCCAAGGTGGATGGCAACATCCCAGCACTTCTTCTTTTGTCTTAGTAAATGTCGAATATCCCGCCCTAACCAGGGACGCCCGTGCTTCTTTTCCTTTGGAACAGTCCAGGGTATGTATGGTTGAGTTACCCGATTGTTTAACTGCCTGAATATAGTCCATGCCTCTTGTACTGATGCCTTTGAGTCAATTTCCCAGTTCTCAGCCGATGCTGCGGAGTTAATTGCCTGCATATCTGCCCTCCATATGTTAGGACGGGCCGGCACAACTGTTTGACAGGCAATCTCAGCTATGAATTTGAATAAGATGACTGCATTGTCACTTCTCCCAAGTGGTGGGAGAAAAGCCATTTGACCAGCGTCATCACCGTGTGTGAAGACTAAATCTAAAAGAGAAGAAGAGTTTCTTAAGTCGTATATTGTGGGATCTCTAATGCGTTGGAATAATGCCAATCCCATCGAGGTTTCTAACAGTTTGCATTCGAACGACGTTATCTATGACCCTGCTTCTAAGTTAACCCGGTTTATATATGGTGCATTAAAGTTGCCTACTACAATGCTTTTACCCTTGTTACACCAGGACTTAAGTTTACTTAGGATAAAATCATCTGCTACACATTCTGAACTGCGATATACTACAACTACTTCAATATCTTGCCGTTGGCAATTCAACTTACATCCCACCAGTTCACATGTCACTGGAACATGTGCTACTGTCTCAGCTAATCCTATGGTTAGGGTACTTTTCGTGTACAGAATAAACCTGTAGAATTATGGTCTACTATGATATTAGTACTGCTCTAATAATAGACCTAATCCTAAATTTGTAGATCTGTCATGAAATAACTGCCTAATCTATAAGATCTTACGTGAAAGTCACACCATCGACTACACCAACTCACTGTATCGTATCAATTACCAATACATGATGTATAACAAGGTTGGGCTAGAGAAAGAACAATATATTTAATATGAATAGAAGATATAAGGTAACATTCGGCAGAGACCACGCCTGCATGGTCGAGCCATGCCACTCGATCAACTCCAGTCCATTCAATTCTTTATTCGCGCCTTCTCCATCGTTAGGTATTTCTCCGTGTTAAATATTGAATATCTATTCTCTGAGTAGTCTCGTGTTCACAGCTTTGTGGATTGTGTGGCTATTGTCCAATGCCACTACACTACTCTCCCACCAGAATCAACGTGATGTTGGTTCGATACCGAATTGGATGGGATCGTCGCGCGCCAGAGGTTACCAAGGATAATAAGAATCCTCCGGGTATTGGTAAGCTGAAAGATAAATCAAAAAGAAGGCGGCAGCATCTGGTCGGGAAATACATGTAGTAATTTTAAAATATCTGCCTTTATGCTTAACATGCTTGAAATAAAAAATTTGGGTGAAGATTATTTGAGCTATGAAAAAAGGGATTACAATAATAATAATAATAAAACGATGCGTGTTAATAGCCGTTGGTTAATGACTTAATGTGTAGGTAGTAAGTATTTTGTGTTTAGAAATATTAAAGTAATGAATATTGTAGAAATGTTAATATTGGTATTAGTTTTGGTTTAAATTATGAAATCAAATAACGATTATGCTGGTAAGTTGTCCATATGAGTTGAATTCCAATTGCATCTGTATTAGTAGACTAACTGAAGGAACAAAAGTAATAACGTGGAAAAGAATTCCAACTAGTGTTCCAGTTAGTTTGATACGGTTTATTTAGTTACGGGGAGATTTTCTCAACCTCATTTTTACTTGACCGTGATAGAATTTAGTAATACTACTAATACACATGAATGGTTATCAAAATAAAATTTAAATACATGAGTGATAATTATATGGATTTTGGAAAGATAGCTAGGAAAAATCGTTAAACATGAGTGTGTTCGTAAGAGACATGCTCTGGACTCAATGTTCTGATCTGCGGCAGACTTTATTTATATTTATACTTGCTGGCTGATTGGGCATACAAGTTAGTTGCAAGTATGAAGTTTATCATAAGGCGGAATACGATTTAATTGAGATATAGTGGTTATAAGTTACTAAAATCAGTTAGGCCTCTGTCATATTACGAAGTGATGTGGTACAGAAACTCGTTCATAGGGTTAGTGGTTAGGGTTGTAGCCTAGGAATAGGGTTAAGGCTAGAGCTTGGGGTTAGGGTTACGGGTACGGGTTAGGGTTAAGGGTAGGGGTTAGGGTTAAAGTTTAATTAAGGGTTGGGGTTTAGGATTAGGGATAGGATCAGGTTAGAAATAGGGGTTGGGGTTAGGGTAAGATTTAGGGTTAAGGTTAGGGTTAGGGTTAGAGGTTAGGGTGGTAACATGCGATCAGTTAGGGTTAGGGTTTAGAGTAAGGGTTAGGGTCAGATTAGGAATAGGGGTTAGGGTTAGGGTAAGATTTAGGGTTAAGGTTAGGGTTTAGTGTAAGAGTTATGGTTGGGTTTAGTGTTATGGTTGCGGTTGTTGCAAGTCAATAAACACCTCTTCTCTAAAATCCGATGCAAACCGATCGCATGTTAATACCCTAACATTAAACTTAACCTAACCCTAAGATTAACGCTAACGTTAACGCTAACCTTAACCCTAATCTTAACCTAACCCTAAGCCCCAAGGTAACCCGAACCCTAAACCCTAACCTTAACCCTAAACCCTAACCCTAAACCCTAACCTAACCCTAACCTTAACGCTAAGCTTAACCCTAACCTTAACATAACCCTAAACCCTGACCTAACCCTAACCCTAAACCCTAACCTAACCCTAACCTTAACGCTAAGCTTAACCCTAACCTTAACATAACCCTAAACCCTGACCTAACCCTAACCCTAAACCCTAACCTAACCCCAACCTTAACGCTAACCTTAACCCTAACCTTAACCTTATACTAACCCTAACCTAACCCCAACCTTAACGCTAACCTTAACCCTAACCTTAACCTTATACTAACCCTAACCTAACCCTAACCTTAACGCTAAGCTTAACCCTAACCTTAACATAACCCTAAACCCTGACCTAACCCTAACCCTAAACCCTAATCTTAACCCTAACCCTATGGACGAGTTTCTATACAATATGCATTATGAACTCAGAACTTCTGAGCCTTTATCAAACTTTAACAAATTTGTCACTAAGCAATTTGTAGACTGTAATCAAGTCGCCTCTAGATCTGCGATATGACAACGGGAAAAGGTTCAGCTTGGCCAGTCGAGATTCATACGGAAGCTTCGCTATTCCAGGAATCAGCTTAGTCGCCGTTTTCTGAACCTTTTCCAGAGGCTCACTGTCTTTTTTTAAGCAGGGGCTAGCCGCTTGTATGCAGTACTCAAGTTTAGGACGAACGAACACTGTATACAAAGTCAAAAACGTTTTAGCGTCTACATGACTAAAAGCTCTACGTATTGACCATAACGTTCTAAAACCTTTGGCGGCTATTGCACGACAGTGTGCAGTAGTCTTTAAGTCTTGACTAACGATAACTCCTAAGTCACTATATGTTTGGACGACAGGTAGCTCAGTGTTATTCATCGTGTATGTATCTGTGCCTTGATGACTGATATGCATCACAACACACTTGGAAGTATTTATCGGCAACTGCCATGTTTGAGACCATTCAGATAATTTCTTCAGGTCATTTTGAAGTTCTAAGCCATCACTCTTACATCGTATCGTTTTCCATATCTTGACATCGTCAGCATATAGCAAGACCGATGATGATAGGAGACAAGGAAGGTCATTTACATACAAGAGGAATAGCACTGGCCCCAAAACTGTACCCTGGGGCACTCCACTAGGCACAGTTTCCCAGCTAGATAACTTTCAGTTCACCCTTACTCTTTGTTGACGCCCAACTAAGAAGTCTTTTATCCACATCAATAAACTGCCTCCAATCCCGACTTTTCTTAACTTATATAACAGCCGGTTGTGCGGAACTTTGTCGAAAGCTTTACTGAAATCAATGAAGGCGACGTCTACAGGTAGCTTTTGGTCCTTAAGAGCGCACCAGCTTTCACGAGCCACTAACAAGTTAGTGAGACAAGAATAACCTATTCTGAAGCCGTGCTGCTTCTCCGAGAGGATCCGGTTTTTATCGAGATACTTAAACAGCTCCTTCCTTCCGAATAATCTTTTCTAAGATTTTAACAACCACACTAGTTAGGCTAACGGGGCGGTAATTCTCAGGTTTGTGTTTCGTACCTGTTTTGAAGACAGGACTTACTATGGCGTTTTTCCAGTCTTTCGGTAAACGACCCTGCGTAACGGATAGGTTAAAGCATGTACTTAAGGGGCTTGCAAAGAAGTTAGACAATTTCTTCAGTAGCCTAGGATGCAGTTCATCGGGCCCCGTGGATTTACCTATGTCAAGCTTATGTAGCAGACCAAAGACATCGAGTTCTTTAATGGTCACGCTATCCAGTGTATGAATGGGGGGATCTGTATACGCTGACGGGAAGGGCGCTCCTATGGTATATACGTTGCTAACGTAGTTCGAGAACACTTGAGCCTTACAAAAGCCGTCCTTCACTAATGATGAAGCAGTACTGTCTCCCCATAGAGCAGGAATATTTCCTTTTCTCCTTGGCCCTTGGTTTATATAGGAATACAAGCGTTTAGGACATTCTATGGATAATAATAATATATTTCTGCATGTGCAGGTACACACCGTTTTTACAGGCATGATCTATAAATTACAACATTTGTTGATTCGCAAAATACTTCGCAACTTATTAAGTTTATAGTTGTTATAAAGTGAAATCATAGAGCGCTTGCTGTAAACTATGACCTTGAGAGGGCGCGTACGTCAAGTCTACTCCAAAAGTCAGGAGTTTCATAGCTGTGCTCTCAGAGCAAGATTTGGAAGAAGAATAAAAGAGAAATAGATGATGGATTAAGGATTTCCTAGTATGTCGTAGACAGAAATCAAGAATAAATTCCAAGTGCTCCATCTGGAGACTAGTACTTAGTGGGGTATTCCAAGGTTCAGTTCTAGGTCCTTTTTATAATGTTAATGATCTTCCAAGTATAGTAGTATCCAGTGTTATTATATGCTGGAAGGTAAGTCAAGGTTGGCACAGGGGACGGCAAACCTCTAGAATGTGTGGTCACTATAGATTAACATTGAATTCCCGTTTGTTGAAGCAAACGTGCACGACGGTAGAGGCTGAAGATGTTCTAAATCGACTTCATGATTGCAAAGTGTTCTCGAAAGTTGACCTAAAAGATGCTCATCTTCAAATCCCTTTAGATCAATCTTCATCTATTTTGACTACAGTTAACACTCCTTTTGGTCTGTTCAAATACAATTTCCTTCCATTTGGTCTAAGTTGTTCTCCAGCCATATTTCAGGAAGTTATGAATAAAATAGTTAGTGGTATTGGAGGTGTTGTAGTTTATCAAGATGATCTCATTGTTCATGGCTCTAATAAGGAAGTTCATGATCAGAGACTTATTGCTTTATTGCGTCGTCTAATTGAGAAGAATATTACAGTGAATCCAAATAAGTGTTCATTTTGTGTATCTAGTTTCGAATGCCTTGGATACCTAGTTGATGGTTATGATTTTAGACCAGATATGAAACGACTAGCTCCACTGACTAATGCACCGTCTCCAAAAATCTTACGGAATTACGTTCACTAGTGAGTGCTCTTCAATACTATTCCCGTTTTATTCCTAATTTTTCTTGTCGTGCAAATTGTTTATTTAATATTTTCACATCCAATTCATTGAAATGGAGTGAGGAACAAGTGTCATGCTTACGAAGTCTACTAACGTTTCTTCAAAGTGATGCTGTTCTTCGAACTTACTCCCACAGTGTGTATTCTGTGCTCATTACTGATGCATCACCGGTGGGTGTTGGTGCAGTTTTGGAACAGGAAGGTAGACCAGTTATTTGTGTTTCACGCAAACTTACTGTTACTGGAAAAAGTTATTCACAAACTCAGCGAG